TTTTCTTTCATTAGGGATATGGGTCTTTTCTTTTTTTTTCAAAAATGGGATCTGGGTTAGTAAGATAATTGTTGATTGAATATTTATTGACTTGATAATGAAACTAGAGATGGATAGGTTGAGCACCACGAGGTCTCAGGTTAATACTCACACCGGTTGCTGATGGGAGGTGACATGTATCGTGTGGAATTAGTCGAGGTGGGCGCAAATGGGTCCTGACATTATGATTATAAAATAAAAAATGAAACTAGAGTTGTATAATTTCTCCTTTTGTAGGATGTGTTATTTTACTTTTTTTATTTTGTATGTATAATTGGCATTTGTTGATGTGGGGTTATCTTGAATGTGCAAATGAATGTAATGCAAGCGGAAGAAACTGATTTGTGAAGTTGAAACATATAGAAAGTCGAGTAAAATTTACTGCTTTCGCAAGGTTTCAAATATTGCAAGTTATGTGTAGAATTTGAACATTTTAATTTCATTTTGATAAGGTTGGTATGGTCAGTGCTAGTTTAGTGTAGGGAGAAGGATGAGATTTAGAGAATCAGTAGTTTAGAGAAACCTGAATTTTTTTTTTGAAGGATGGATTGCTTAGTGTTGAAATCAATTTGGCCTCAATAACGCCGAATTGTTGAGTCTTGAAACAAATAGAACAAAGAGGAAAAGGGACACAATTGACTCATAGGTAGTAGGTTCGAGGGTGGCGCTTACCGTGTCTCAGGAAGGAGAAAAGCAGGGGCAGAGCTAGTATCCCGATTATGGGTAGTTTTGATGCATACCTTGTATATGTTAAATATAATCACTTATTATGTGTAAATAATTTATCAAGAACCCACTAAATTTCTTTTCTTAAAATTTAAAACTCATAAATTCAAAATCCTAGTTTGGGTTGAGGTATAGTTGATTGAGTTGTAGAGTTAAGATCATATTTATTTCTGTGCCTTTAGCATGACATATTGGATAAGTACGTTATTAAGTTTGTTATTTGGGTTAATTACCTTCATTAATCTAGTTTGATGTTGATTCTGCTACAGTAAGCTTCAGAGTGATGCCTTAAGAGAAGCCATCACTGTGATTAAGAATGATTCAAGTGAGAAGAAAAGGAAGTTCACTGAAACCATTGAGCTTCAGATTGGGTTGAAAAACTATGATCCTCAAAAGGACAAGCGTTTCAGTGGTTCAGTTAAGTTGCCACACATTCCTCGCCCTAAGATGAAGATTTGCATGCTTGGAGATGCTCAGCATGTGGGAGAGGTAATCCGCCCGTACTTGTCACATGAATTATTATTGAGCTGCATTTTTCCTGTATTCCTTGTCTTTTACATTTGGGAAGCTACCGCCTCACATTTACACAAGCATCCCTTCGAGATTACTGTTAAGTTTTAGGAGATGGATCCTTAGATAATACTAACATTGATCCAATTATCTTCTTACAAGATTTAGTGTGTTAATAAGATGATAACATTTATTATCAAAGAACTCATGAAATATTTCTTGTCAGTTTGTAGCTTTGATTGCACATGTCTTGGTGACTTTGGAGGTTTGATTTTTAGACATATAACACGAGTTCCTTGTATAATGTATATTAGATAGTGCAATTTCATTTTTTTGACTGGCAGTTTCGTAGCTTTGAGGTAGCAGCAATTTTTATATGGAGTGGACCTGCTTAGTCCTAGTAACTATTTGAAATTTTGTGGTTGCTAATGTACCTAAAGGCTAAAGCTACTGCTATAGATGATTTTGTGCAAAGTGTGATCAAAGCTTTATTGCATTTGTTTTCCAGGCAGAAAAGATTGGTTTGGAGTACATGGACGTGGAAGGCCTGAAGAAGCTTAACAAAAACAAAAAGTTGGTTAAGAAGCTCGCGAAGAAGTACCATGCTTTCTTGGCATCAGAAGCTGTTATCAAGCAGATCCCCCGTCTCTTGGGGCCTGGCTTGAACAAGGCAGGCAAGTGCAATAGACTATTTTGATGTTTTAACTAGCTGTAGAGCTGGTTTAGTGTATGTCTAATGTCTTTGGTTTATAGTTGTACATATTGGTAGTCGTAGCTGATTTTCATAGAGAACTACTTCTGTTAACTCATTGTCCTGACTTGTAAGTGCATATGTAAGGATGAACAGATCACCTTGTCCAACAGTCTTACCGGCCACACTTACTAGCCAGACATTGATTGATTTAATTTCACCTCTTTAATTCACCGGATTTTCCCAATTAGCATTTTCCAGCAATTAATGTAGTATCCAACCAGTCACAGTTTTGTGAGAAAAGTAGGCACTTTTTCTTTTTGTTGTTTGGGTCTCACTAAGCATCATGCCTCGACTAACAATTGCAGCAGTGTAATATAGAGATCATAAATGCCCATCTCACTTAAAAGTGGTTCATTTATATCGTTTTTTGCCCTCTCTTAACCAATTTCATTATCTTTAAATGCAGGTAAGTTTCCTACTCTTGTTTCCCACCAGGAGTCACTTGAGTCTAAGGTTAACGAGACCAAGGCCACTATCAAATTCCAGTTGAAGAAGGTTCTTTGCATGGGAGTTGCCGTAGGTAATATGGATATGGAGGAGAAACAAATCTTCCAAAACGTGCAAATGAGTGTCAACTTTCTAGTGTCCTTGCTAAAGAAGAATTGGCAAAATGTGAGTTTACTTAACATCCTATTATTACTTCGTCTATCCACAAGCATTTACCTTTAGTTCTTCGAGTACTAATGTTTCTTTGTTGTTAATGCTCACAGGTGAGATGCTTGTTCTTGAAGAGTACCATGGGAAAGACTCAACGCATCTTTTAAGAATATTGTATTACAATCTTGGCAGTTTCAGGCATTTTGACTTGTACGCGTTATAGATACTATTGGATTTTGTTGTTTAGTTGTGCTCCTGGATACTGAGTTGAAAACTTGATATCAGTTTTGTTTTGATTTTACTTTTATTTTCTCCTTTCCAACACCGCTATTTCTGTTGATTTTCTTGAATACTGTCAACTTTCATATCTAAAGGAACACTCAAATTTTGTGGTTTAACTGCTATTAAACCTTTTTGCTTTTCAACTTTGTTGAATGTGGTGTTGCTTAAGGTAAAGTCTGTGTATACTATCTCTCAGGTCTCACTTTTGGAATATGTTGGGTATGTTGTTGTATTAGCAAGAATTGATGTGTGAAGATTACATAAGTAGTGTAATATTTGACTTTTCATTTAGTAAGTCATTGAAACTTTTAACAATATAATGAATTGTTTTTCTAAAGCAACTCAATCCTTTTAATGTTTTCTATTACAAAAGATCACTACAAAAAGTCTTGATGAGAGCAAAATTCAATTGAACCAGTTGAATCTCAATTTCTTTCTATTGTTGTAATTTTCTTAGAACTCCTTGCTACTTTTGGTAAAAACTTCATGAAAGAAACCACTTTTAGAACTGCCAAAATTCTTCTTGATTTTTAAGAGTTCTTTAGAAAAATGCTTATTTGAAAATAAATAAACTTTTTGAATCTATTATATTAAATTAAAGATGTCAAATTTTAGATTTTAGAGTGAAGTATCACAAATACATTTATTTTTATTTTTCTTTTTTACTTTTATAGGTCTGTGAGTTTCTTACCTGAACTATCACCAAATGTTTATCGAAACACACCTGAACCATTAATTATTTACTTTTCCTACATGAAATTTCAGGTCCAAAACTCAAACAATTGATAGTTCAAGTGTATTTTATAAAACTCAGACAACTGATAGTTCAAGTGTGTTTTGTGATAGTTTAGGTAGGAAACTCACACACCTGATAGTTCATGTATAAAATTCCAAAAAAAATAGGATACTTTAGATGGGTTTTGATTGTTAACTCCTAGGAGTCGTTTGGCGTGAGGTAATAAGGTATAATAATTCTAAAATAAAATGCAGAATTATTTTATCCTGCATTTGGATAGAGGTATTAAGTAATCATTGGATTATTTATTCCACCATTTATACTATAGTGATGTGATAAGTTATCCCACATATCTTGAGATAATTAAACCGAAGATTGTTCCCAACCAAACAATCCCTTACACCTTGTTTGGATGGTTGTTACTGTTGTATTGTATTGTTAGTTTAAATACAATGTTTGTTTTGATTGTTACTTAAATTCCACTGAACGACCGATTTGGTGTGATCGCGTCGTTACCTTAATATTTTTTTTCTCATTTTATCTTTATTTATTAATTAATAATTGTATTTCATCTTTTACCCTACTTTTTCATAGTATCTCTACCCGTATCCTACTTTCTTGTAGGTATATCATCCAAATCATAGATATGTGACATTATGTAACGACTGAGAACGATTCAACCTATTCAAACATTATATTCATTAAAATAATGCAATACAATACAACACAATACAATATAATACGATACATTATGAAACAATACGTAACAACTGTCCAAACAAAGTGTTAATCTTATGGCCTTATTATTGTACGTAGAAAATTAAAATTAAAGAGTTGTTAATAAATAAAAGGAACATTCTATTAAAATGGATTAAAAAGGAAAATAAAACAAACAAAATAAAATATCAATTAACCAAATATTCTAGTGACACGGATTGTTTATTCTCCCCCAAATTTCCAGCTAACCGACTTTAAACTTCTATATAAAAAACAAATACTTGGCCTCCAAGGATTATTTTCTTTTCTTATTAAAAAAAAAAAAAACAAATACTTGGTCTTCAAGTAATTTTCCCTCTATTGGCTATAAATCCAATTCCACACCTCCAATCCTTCCACCCCAGCTACCTTCGGTATTCATATTAGAGTCTGATAGCCCATCCCTCCACTCCAATTGTAATTTCTTGTTTGATTGTTCATTCATTTTCGGCATTCATATTAGAGTCTAACTTCCCCATTCCTTCCACTCCAACTACAATTTCTTTTTTGATTTTCCATTCGTTTTTTATATTCATATTAGAGTCTGACAGTCCCCATCGGTCGGTTGGTGATTACTCCAATTACAGTATAATTTCCATAATGGCTTCTCTGGTTGGCCCTCCAGAAATCCATGGCAAACAAAAATCACTACCAGTTTCCACCATCACCACCACTACCACCAACAATCCATTCATAGATCTAATGGTAGCAAATTTCAACTCAACACAAGTCCAAAACCCTTCAAATATGGGCTACACTGAAAACATGTCTGCAACTTATCTTTCTACTACCAATCCTTGTTTAGATTTCTTCTTCCATGTTGTTAATGATACTCCTCCCAAATCACTCATCCAGTACTTACACCGCGCTTGGGATCATAATCCCCTAACAGCATTGAAACTGATCTGCAATTTGCGCGGTGTTCGTGGCACTGGAAAATCTGATAAAGAAAGTTATTACACTGCTGCATTGTGGCTTCATCAGTTTCATCCTAAAACCCTAGCTTGTAATTTGGAATCTCTAGTTAATTTCGGGTATTTCAAGGATTTGCCTGAGATACTGTATAGGTTACTCGAAGGACCTGATGTGAGAAAAAGGGCGAAAAAGGAAAAGAGTAGTAGAAAAATGAAGAGAGTAAAAGCGGAGAACAGAGATTGGAGACCATTTGGATTTGGAGGAGGACTAAATGCGAGTATTGATAAAGGGGTGAAGAAAATTGAAATGGCGAAAAAGGCTTTTGATAGATACAGAGTTGATCCGGATTATAAATTCTTTCATGATCGCGTATCTGATTTATTCGCGAATTGTTTGAAGTTGGATCTTGACTTGTTACGTGCTGAGAAATTGACGGAGATTAGTCTTGCTGCTAAATGGTGTCCATCTTTAGATTCGTCTTTTGATAAGAGAACACTTTTATGTGAAACTATAGCTAAGAAGGTGTTTCCAAGAGAATTGTGTCCTGAATACGAAGGGATTGAAGATGCACATTACGCGTATAGAGTGAGGGATCGATTGAGGAAGCAAGTTCTCGTTCCTTTACGTGCAGCATTGGAGTTGCCAGAGGTTTATATAGGGAGAAAAGATTGGGGTTCGATACCTTACAATAGAGTAGCATCAGTTGCTATGAAAATATACAAAGAAAAATTCATGAAATATGATGAGGACAGATTTAAAGAGTATCTTGAGAAAGTGAAACAGGGGAAGGCTAAGATTGCTGCTGGTGCATTGCTGCCTCATCAGATAATCGGAGCACTAAACGACACAGATGATGGAGGTCAAGTTGCTGAATTGCAATGGAAGAGAATAGTAGATGACTTGTCGAAAAAGGGGAAGTTGAAAAATTGTCTTGCTATTTGTGATGTATCTGGTAGTATGACGGGTACTCCAATGGAGGTGTCCGTGGCATTAGGAGTCCTTGTTTCGGAGCTGAGTGTAGAGCCATGGAAAGGCAAGCTTATAACGTTCAGTAACAATCCGACCCTTCAAATAGTCGAAGGGGAGAATTTGATTTCCAAAGTTGAGTTTGTGAGAAAAATGGAATGGGGAATGAATACTGATTTTCAAAAGGTGTTTGATTTAATACTAAAAGTGGCTGTTGATGGGAGTTTAAAAGAGGATGAAATGATCAAGAAAGTGTTTGTATTCAGTGACATGGAATTTGATCAAGCCTCGACGAATCCATGGGAAACGGATTATGAGACGATTGTTAGGAAATTTAAGATGAATGGTTACGAAAATTGTGTACCTGAGATTGTGTTTTGGAATTTGAGAAACTCAAGAGCTACACCTGTGAAAGCAAACCAGAAAGGAGTTGGACTTGTGAGTGGTTTTTCGAAGAATTTGCTTACGTTGTTCATGGAAGAAAGGGATTTTAGTCCTGAAGATATAATGGAAGCAGCAATTTCTGGTGAAGAATATCAAAAGCTAGTTGTGATTGATTGATCAATGAAAAATTTGTGATTAAATTGGACATTTTGTTGATGTTTTTGTGACATTGTTGACAATAGTACTTGAAATGATTATAACTTTTTGTGTTTCCTCCATTTCATTGTCAAATATATGGCCTACTTGTTATAACTTGTGAACAAAATAAAGTTAGTCAATCCGATAAGACTTGTGAATAATTTAACAAGACTTTGTTGACTTGTATGTTTTTCAACTCAAATGGTTAAATTTATAATATTTAAACGTAACTAAAATTCATAATATCTATAACAAGTACTAAAAGATGTTTTAGGGATGTCTAGAGCCCTAATTTTCAACTAATTAAGTGGTATTCAGACTTCAAAGCAATTAGAAAAGACTATGTCGCCTTTTAACTTAGTCAAAATGATCATATGTATGACGATGGATACTTATTCTTAATGGTTACCCTGTTCAAGTGTCAATAATCAATTCATTACGTATTGTCTAAAAGATATCAGTATCTTAAAGAGAGACACTGAGTCTACTAAAATAATTTGCGCAATAGATTTTGTAATTAGTCTGTTAACTCTTTCAATTGAGTTGGTGCTATTCTTTTAAACAAAGTGCCACATCAATAAACCGTTAATTATAAAATTTTAATCCGTTCTCCAACCGTTTATTCGATAACCCAATACCAATAAGTCAATTTGTGATTGACTTATCGATTATAATTCGGTTTTGAACACCCCTACTAAAGACTTTAACGACTTTCAATATAATATTAACTCAATTGTAATTAAATATATTTGCGACAATAAATACTGCCAAAAAATTTATCACTACTAAATATCTCTTTTGATGTATTGACTTTGAAGCACCATAGCTCCACCACTTGCATAGTGCCATGTTTACTAACGTTTCTTGTTAAATTTTGAAGTAAAATAATTCGTGAAATGCAGTGTAAGTAAGCCAAGATTTTTTTTATTAATATATGGATATTGAAAATGATACATGTATTATTAAACTAGAAATTATTTTCAAGTTTCAACCAATACATTAAACTAGAAAAACCCTTTGAAAAGGTTAACATGAAAGACAAAGTAATAAATAAATACGACAAATAAATGGATAGCGCGCCGCCAGGTGCAACCTAATTGGCAGAGTATGCACCGACTATGATACTAGTCTTTTTGTTATTAAATACCGTGACACCACTTACAAAATTTTTTTGTGTTGAAATGGTCCCTTGTTATTGATGCATACTCTCCGCAGAGGCGGCTCAACGTAATTGGGGGTCTAAAGCGAAATTTCAATTGAGGCCTAACAAATTTCATACATATTTATTTAAAATTTATTTTTCTAACTATTTAGATGGAAATTATTACTTAATTTTTTTTTTATAGATGATTTTTTCGAGTACTTTTTTTTTAATTTAAAATTATTAATTTTAGGTAAGATTTTATCAATTCAACATTGAAAAATATCATTTTATTGAAGCAATCATTATATGAATTGTTAACACAATTCAATAAGTAATAAGTTGACAAACTTTAAGCAAAAAAGAGTTTTAAAAAATAAATAATGTGATTGTTTGCAAAGAAATATAATAAGACAAAATAACGTTTTCTCGATTTCTTCTATTTGAATGGGGTTGAGAAGAATAAATTATATATATATATACACACACTTTTTATTATAAATAATTAATTTTTTTAATAAAAAATAACGCATAATTTGTTCTACACAAAAAATTGAGGCCTTCCAAAATTGAGGGCCTAAGGCATATGCCTTAATTTTTATAAGGCAGAGCCGCCCCTGCTCTCCGCCTTCATCATATTAAAATGCTAAAGTATATTTTTACATGATAATTACTATCTATTCGATGATAACTAATTATCAAATAATCATTTTTAAAGCACATTCACAATCAAAAGTGAGAGAACGGTACATGAAAGATTTGTTAATAACTAATGTAAGTAGTATGCATATTGTTTATAGAGTTTAATATTATTTGATTGACAAGTACTTATAGGAATATCTTTGATCATGGGCAGTGGCGTAGCCACATATAGCTCAGGGTAGTCAGTTAGACAGTATTCATTGAAAAATTATACAATGTATATAGAATTTTCTTTTTCATTTTTTATGTATATAAAAAATTATACGAAGTGTTTAAGTCAAAAAATAATTTTACACGTATATATTAAATCTTGGACACCTTTAACAATATTTCTGACTTAGCCATTGGTCATGAGATTATACACTGACGATATATAATGGATAAAAGCATCAGAAGATGCAAGTGCGAAGGAAAATAAGCCAAAACTATTATTTTCGCTAATTATTCGCGGACTTTCATTTTATTATAGGCCCCAATTAATTTACTGGTCTACAAATTGAATCTAGTTTGGATTGGTACTCTAGTAACATCCGCACCTTCTTATAATTGTTCTTTTCATTGGTTGTCGTAGGGGTGTACATGGCCGGGTTAGTTCGGGTTTTTTAAATATCAAACAAAATTATTTATGTCGGATTTTTAAATTTATAAACCAAACCAAACCAATAAAACTCGGATTTTTCAACCTCGGTTTTTTTTTGGGTTTTTCGGGTTGTTTCGGGTTTTTCCGGTAAAGTATTCATACAAACATATAATTTACTTGTACTTCAAATATTTCTTTAGTCCTACCAAAATACAACTATCTAAGATGTTTCTTAAAAATATAACACAATATGATATGATTAATGACACTAAAATATCCAACAAAAATAATAATAATGAAATCGCGTAAAACAAATATTGCAAATTAACAAGTCATAATGAAAATGATCATAATTTAAAAGTATTAAATAATGCTAAAATTAAGTTTAATAAGTATTAGTTACATGACTAAATATTAAAGAAAATTAAAATTAGATTATGTATTTTAATTGTCTAAACCAATGTAAAACTAAAGAACAAATATTCAATATTATTGTCATTCTTAGTGGTGAATTGATTTTATTTTTGCATTAATATTAATTTGATTTTGATTTAAGCTTTATTATAATTACCAACATATGTGGACTATAATCTTTATTGGCCCATTCATAATTTTAAGTTTCAAACTTGAAATAATATATTAAAAGATAAAAACTATGGAAAAGTATAAGAAATATTTAAAAATTATATCAAAGTAAACATTTTTATGTATAAAATAAAATTTTAAAATTATATATATAAATTCGGGTTGGTTTGGTCTCGGGTTGGTTTTTTTAAGTTAAAACCAAACCAACCCAAATATAGTCGGTTTTTTTTTCCAAAACCAAACCAAGTCAAACCAAATCACTAGTCGAGTTTTTTTTCCGGGTTGACTCGATTTGCGGTTTGGTTCAGTTTTGTACACCCCTACGTTGTCGTTATTATTCAAATGTCTAATTAATTGATTCGTCCCCCAATCTTATGTTGATACTTATTCAGACAAATATTGCATTAAACTATGTCGATTCTTTCTATTTAAGTAAAATAATTTCACAAATTATTAGTTTTCTCATGTTTTTAAGATAGTAGAGGAAGATTATGAGTTTGAGATTGAGTACGAGTAATGACGAGATTAGAGGATGTATCTTTTCATTATTATTATTATTATTATCTATGTCTACATCAACTTCATGTTCTTCCTTTATAGCGTAAGTTTTTGGGGTCTTCAAATAATTCATATCATGTACACCTACACCTATGTCTCTTATTTTACTAGATGGTATTGGAGACATACAAAATAAAATCTAGTACTTATACTATCTTTATCAAAATCAAATTTTTTTTTCTTATTACTATTTATCTTTGGGACACAAATTTTTAATATTTTTACTTACTTTCCTTATTTTATCCATTATGAAAATTAAATTAATAAAATTATAAGTACAAAATTAATATAATTAGATATTTAAGAATTAATATACTAAATAAAAGTAAACAAATATATCAAATTTTTGGAGATAAAAGAATAATTTAATATTCGTAAATTGATGAATTGAACACTTGAAAGTTGAAAACTTTTACCTGATGTTATTAATTGCAAAAATAATAAGAAATTGCTAGAAAATTAAGACTTTAAAAGACAAATTAAGAGAAAATAAGGAGATTGTTGTAAGAAATATGATGAAATGTCCGAAATATATTTGTAGGTTAAAACATAATTTTTAAACATGGGGGTTAATTTTTTTTTTATATTAGTTTGGGATATTTTGAGTCCAATATATCAGATTTTTTCGTTGGTCTAGCCACTATTTTTTTTTTTTTTTTTGGCAAAAATAGTCCCATTGGCCCAACGATTGAATCTTATTTTTTTAACCGGGTGCACCGATCGATGGGCCTATGATCCAAACCCCACCTAATTCATGAACTAGATATCGGAATTCAAACAAGTCTATTTTTGATTGTAAATTTTTCATATATTTTATAAATATTCTGGATTGTCAATTTTGCGATTTATAGTACTTTTTTACATAGTTTCCACACACACATACATATATATATATATATATATATATAGATTTCATTTCAAAAAAATTAAAAAATTCATACGCAAATTTTTAATCAAATTTAAATTATTTGACTCTCAAAAATTGAAATATGTCACATAAATTGAAATAAAGGGAATATAAGAGTTTAGTTTTGACTCTCCGTAAATTAATTCGTGAATTGCGATATAAGTAATTCAAGAACTATTAATATAGGTACTGAAAATCATACATGTATTATAAAAATTTAAATTTTATAATAATACATCAAACTAGTCTATCCTATAAATTATATAATAGGACAAAGTACTCCCCTTTATTTGAATACCCACCTACGACTTTGATTGTTATTATACCTGGTTTGCTCCTGTTTGACTTCAGTTACCATATGAAAATGGAGATCGTCCAACATTATGTTCCAGCACTGCCCCTGAATCAACATGATCCATGATCACAAGTCAGGAGTAACATTACTTACGAAAAATTCTGCGTATATTATTATACATACTTCTATTTTTATTTGTTGATGTAGATGG